GACGGGAGGTAGGGACGGGGGCGTCATTAGTTCGGCCATCCTATCGCCCGGTATATCATATTAACGAGAGCCGTTACCGCCTCGTGGATAACGAAACTTGTACGTGCGCCGCCAGGCCCCCCATATATTACGGGCTATTTATTTAAGGGCCAAGATAAGAACTGCGCCGTGCATTAGAGCTGCTCTCTCTTGTGTGATTACCGCGCGCCGCCCTAATTTATTTTCGTGCGCGCGCCCATGGATTTTCTGCTGCAAGCCTGATCTCGCGTCTATCAACCAGCTTCCATGCCTTATTCGCCACACTTTTTTTTTCTTGCTCGTCCGACCTCCTCCCTCCCATCTCTTCTTGTTCTCTAACTTAACTGTACGGCCATGGTCTCGAGGCGTAATAATTTTTTTGTCGTCGTTTCGAACGGAAGAGACTGCTGACGCAGACGAGTGCGAAGGGAAATCAGAGGAAAATTGAGACATTTTACTTTTTGCCCCGCTTTGCTCGGTTTTATTACTTTCAGCAAATTTTATCAAAACTGTCGACAGAGATTTTCAGTTAAAAATCTTAGTTGCTTTTCAACTCACGAGACTATCGTTAAGTAATAAGGTTACGGAATAAAATTCACTTGTCCGTCGACATTTTGGTTTCACATTGATGGTGAACATGTAAAAAACTGCAGACGAAAACTGAACGATTCGCTGATTGGGAGACAAAGCGTAACTCATGTGACAACAGTATCGGTATAGTAAATGGTCTGAAAATGAAATCAAGTCCGTCTGGCCAAAAATTCAATTTCCTCGCGCCTCCGACCACTAAATCAAGCGCTGTTTATACCCAAATCAAAGCGTGCACGACGCTCCCCTCGAGCATTCATCACTCGGTGTTCTGTAGCTTGGACGATAAGTCACTCACGTTAATCCAGGAACGATATCAAAGAGCGCCATCAATATAGCTCTCGCCAACCTTTTTTTTGGTTGTCTGGCAGACAAAATAGAATATAAAACAAATCGGAAAAAAGAATTACAATAGAGGAAACCTCAGGCATCCTCGTTGTCGCTAGTGTGCGCGATCAATGTCGAAACTAATAAGGAACTTTCCGCGCACTCGCCCATTACATTTGGAAAGTTTGTTCCAAGCGTGCGGAGAGCTACGCTAACAAGCGCACAACAAAGCACTGGCGATCAGTGCAAATGGGAGTCGGAAGGTAAACGGCTTTTCTCCAACTTTATATTGACTCGCACTTCGTGTATGTTTCACTTGCCTCTGGAATCCTCATTTTTTTCTTTCTCTCTGAGTCGTTTTCGTTTCTCTACCCTAAGAAAAAAAAAACAGTAATCTGCACCTTTATTGTCTCGATGAAAATCAGCTTGTGCGTGGGCAGTTTGATAAGTAGATTGTTGAGCTTGATTATTTGTTATTTTTTCTTCTTTAAAAAAGAAAAAATAACAAAAAAAAAAGGGATTAGGCTATTTGAATTATCAAAGAATTTTATCAAATGAAAATGAGATTGTGGTAACAATTACTTGAAATCTTCCGATAAGATTAATTGATCGGTCAAAGTTTTTGCGCTCGAATATTTTTTTTATCAATGTAAGGTCACCAAATCATTTCAATTCACGACTAGAGTGTGTGTGTAAGAGAGAGGGAGAGAGAGAAAAAGAGAGAGAGAGAGAGAGAGAAAGAGGTGGGTAGTTTTTCAACGATAAAATTTCTGATCTCATTTAAAGATGTCCCTTTCCGGTGATCATTATCGAGCAGCTCAAAGCCAACTCACTTTCCGCGAAAAGTTTTCTCGGATTGGTTTATCGCGCTGGGGAATTCTCACTAAAGAGCCCCTCTCTTTCCCTCTCTTGCTCTTGCTCTAGCGCGGTCTGGAAACAGGTTCAAAGAATCAGCGTTAACTTTCCTTAAGTGCTTTGCGCTGCAACGACTTTTCTCTCGGTCTCGACCATAATTTCCAATCGGGTTTCCATTTCCAATGGCGAGCGAAAGAAAAGGAAGAATGAAAAAAATAAGCTCGCGTGTAAGCGACATTCTCGATATTCCTCATGATGAATTTCAAGAACTAGCTCACATAATAATCAATGGCTTGGTATTTTTCGGAATGGAAGATGGCAAAAGTTCGGGTGATTCGCCAACCAGCTAGAGCCGCGGAGTCGTCGATATTGGAAATTGTACTCTCTCGTTTTGGCGAAGGAGGAATGGGAATTACAAAAGTTGAATTTTCAGTCGAGTGAGCTTCGCTGGACGTATAATTTGATTGATCAAGCACATCCGAATAATTGAAAACGAAATTATCAGCAATTCCAATCAGACCAAAAGTTCCATTACATTTACCAACCTAGCTAGCTGGCTGAAGTAGCCTTTGTACCCAGTTGTCGATAAGAAGCGAGAAATTCGTATAAGGAAATTGGCTTAATTGGGCCGCTGCAAAATTCACTAGCTAACGCGAAGCAATTGCGCTTAATTGGCTGGTAATTAGGTGCGAAGGATAGTCGGCTGTTCGTCGAGCTCGTCGCTGCCGATTTTTCTTTCTGCTTTCGAGCTTCTCTTTTTTCTTTTGCCAATATATATACATATACCCGCTTGCCAAGTCTCAGCTGCGCGCTCGAACCTGTTGAGAGCGCTGCGTGCGACTTATAAGTCCGCGCATCGATCATGTGGCAGCTGCTTGAGCTCTTGCTCGCCAACCGAGCGACAGGACTGCCTTCTTGTACATGGATTTTTCTTTGCCCTCGTTCCAAGCGCTTCTTTCATCCAAATAGCCTTTTGCCGATCTACGAAATCTGTACGTGAACGACTGACTTACGAACGGTTCTTATAAGCGACTCGTTTTCAATAGCAACGCATAATCGTTATATCACTTTTTCTACTGCACGATATTGTTTAAATTATTGGATTAAAAGCTTCGGTCACGCTCCGACAATTCAATTTTCAGAGCAGCAGTTGGAGAGAGAAAATAACGTGCCGCAAATCGGAACAATGTAAGGCACTGTAGCTCAGAACTGCGTGCGTAAATTGAAAAGTTTTTAATAAGGTTAAATAATACGCCAAGCGTCCATTGTAGTTTAACTTTCGAGGATATAATGTCGCAAGCGCAACGCACAACAAGAGGAGCAGCCTGTTCACTGCAATCAAGTTAAACGAGAGTGGCGAGCGCTCGGCAATCAGAGAAAAAGAATCCAGAGTGAGAGGAACGGGCATAACAGTAACGAGTACATGGCGAGCGCCGAGACTAGACGAAATAATTAGCGTGCTATGAATAATGAAGCGTCGACGACGAGAGAAAAGAAAAAAAAACTGCATCGGGATGGCTCCTCGGCAAATACGTGCCTAATTACCCGCTCTCACCAAGGTGAGCGACAGTTATATAGCCACTCTGTAATCAGGCTCTAATTGTATTTAACTTACATGCGAGAGCAGCAGCAGCAGCAGCGAGAGGGAGAGAGAGCCAAGATTTAAATGATGTAGTCGCGTCTGCCGATGTACAAAGCAAGTGCGCGAGCAAGGGGAGAGCTGCACAAGAGCCCACTACAAAGAATACATGTATATGAGAGAGACGCAGAAGCCTCCGGCGATCTTTGATGCGCCGCATGCTATACCGCGCTACAACCCCTTCGCCAACTTTGATGAATCGATATGTACATTTACGACGAACGGTTGCGCGCTGTTTACGTTGGACTGTTTATTTGAAAACTGTTGTCGGTGATCGCCCCGTCGGGGAGAGAACTTGAAAGTTGAAAAGTTTACTCTTCGCAAGCACGAACTTTGTGAATTTCGTTCGTTCAATAACGAAGATAAACAATTTTCCGATACTTTACGCGAGACCGGAGCGTTCGCCGGAGTATGTGGCTTGTTTCTTTTTTACAGCTCGACGATTAACGCTTACTATTTTACAGCGAAAAAGGGTAGATGATATTGAATGAGAGTTAAGAGGGAATAAAAGTTAATGAAAAACCGTTAACCACCTTATCGAGAAATAATTATTCCCGCTAAGATAGCTGAAAGAGAGTCCGACTCGTTGCTGTATACGATTTCAAAGTGCAGCTCCATTTTTTATCTCGTTTCCAACTTCTTGCGGCTAGATCGCAATCTATTTTGCCCCCACCCCCTCTATCTACCTCTCTCTTTTTTCCAAACAGCTAAGACCACCGAATTGAGTTGGCCTTCTTTTTCAAGCTATAAATATATATATACAGGAGGCAGTGAGAGGCAGTGAGAGGCAGTGCATCGGTTAATGGAACACTCGCTAGCGCTTCTTTCAGTCTGCCGAGTTAAGCTCGATTTAATTACAACTCAATCTACAAGTCATACTTATAACCGTGAGCGCGCGAGCGCGGCAGAGAGAGGGAGAGAGAGAGGGAAGCTCGCTTGCGCTTGCGATCCGGGTGTTGATTACTAGCGGGGATTAACCTCAATCCCAAATTACTTCCATCACGTGTATACACAGCCCGAACGGAGCCAAAGCGAAAAGCTTCGGACGCTTTTTCACGTTGCGGCTTATAAATTCGTTATGGCGCGTATACACACGCGCGCGCGTGCACGCGCACTCGTATTCGCGCCTGAGAGCGCAACGATAAACGGCAGTTTGCCTACACCTATCTCGCTTTCGATACGGATGAATTAGTACGGTAATGCATTGCGTTTATGATGGCTATGCGTAAAAGTGCATTGTTCGACGGATCGGAGAGAGGGAGAGAGAAAACTTATTATTTAAAATTATCGCTTAGTTCTTTTGCCGCCGAACGTAATCAAGCTGCAAGTATTATATGAACTTTGGTTAACGCTATTTTCTCCCCTCCCCTTCTGCCGCATATTTTCTGCTCGTGCATAAGCTTAATTATGCTTTAACGAGCTTATATTTTATTGGTTGTTAAAAATAATGTCATTGCATATCCCATTTTCATGTGAGAACCCATAAAACTCGCCATGGTCGAAAGTATTGATTGTGTTATAGATTGAGAGCCAGGGCAATAATAAATATGAAGAGTGGATTTGTAATACGAACCTCCGCTGGTGGCTTGCCAGCTTCACTGATGCACTCGAGAACGAGCTGTCGGTCCTCGGTGGTGATGAGGAAGTCACCTTGGCTGATTTTCGGCTTCTGGGGTGGCACGAGCACGCTCAGGCGAGCGAACCGCGAACGAAGCCCTGGTTGGCCGTCGTTCGTCGGTGACGCCTGGCACTGGTAGACTCCATCGTCCTCCAGCTCCACTGGATTTATCAGTAGTGAGAAGTCACCTGAAACGTCAGAAATCGTCACAATTAGCGCTTCGCTTTTTGCTCGACGAACTAGTAGTATCGGTCAATGACTGCGCAGACCTGTCGCAGCGATCGTTCGCGCGATGAACGGTTTTACTGTCGAGTAAGGCAATAGGCTTTCATCGATCATTCATTTAGATTGATTTGTTTACGACGTACCTCGTCGCCAGCTTTTATTGGCGATCATACAAAAAAAATTGTAATGTCTGTCAGATGCGAAACTGAAGCCTCCATTGAAATTCACATATCGAGCGAGAATATCATACGTTCTACGGTTGACAGCTGCATCGTCTGACAGCAGTTGTATATATGAAATCCCTCGAAAGAATTATCGAGCGAAATTAATATTGCCGATCAGCACGCGTACTTCAGAGAACTTACATAACGCCAACTCAGCGCGCGCTGAGAATTTTAACGACATGACCGGGCTGTTAATCGCATAACACTCGAGATTCAACTGTATATATATGTACATAGTTAGGCTGTTAAAAATTGTACATGTATGTGCATATTTCATGTGAATTCGCGGAAACTTCTTTTTACGATCGCGTTTGATTGCTCTTATCCGAGATAAACGTGTCAAGAGGTGAAAGCTTCGACATAGCCGAATCGATGCAAATTCTATGTTATTATATATATATTTTTTTGCCTCGACGAGAGAGAGGAGATCGTGCGAGTTATGCTGCACTTTGGGTGCTGCTTTTTTTTACGACTTCAATATTTCTTACTGGTTTTCGCAGAGTACTGAGCAATGAAATATGCTCCGTGTCAGCGAGCTCGCACGTAAAACGTTCATTTTTTCGCCGCTACCACGCACACACGCGCACACTGTTTGGATATTGCGCAAGCGCGTTTTTCGAAATCAGCTCCGATACAATTGAAAACAGAAATTTTAGTTATTTTTTCATTAAAAAAATACGCATGAAATATATTAGAAAAATGGTTTTTGAAGAGAAAATTGAATCTTCCAGCTGACATATAAAAATTTTTATGCCAAATTCTCGTTTATGGAAACGAGTTTCAGTACGTTACCCATATGGTAGTAACCGAAAACTGAAAGTACATCGTGGACAGTATAGGATATATACTTTGCATAACGTAATAGTCGTTTTTAAATTATTTTGTTCGCGAAAGGACATTGCGATTCGTCGTCGATGTAGTAGAAAAGATTAATATGGTAATGGCATTCGAGAATGCAAACGCAAAATTAACTTTGAGCTGGAAAAACAAAAGGGAAAGGAGACCTTGAAGATAAAGTGGAGATACGCGGCCATCTTTGCAAATTCCACCACAATCGTCGGTTTTAATCCGCGCGCAAAGTCTCTTTGAGAGAGACAGAACGGGAGGAGGGGTGGGGGAGGAGATCGCCCGCCAGCGAAGCGCGAGAATCGGTGTGGGTGGCAAGGAAGTCCAGCAGTAGCAGCTGGGCTTGAAATAAATCCGCCGATGAGGAAGGAAGGAAGGAAAGGGGAGAGGGAGAGAGAACCGTGACTCGAGTTTCTCTCGAAGAGAAAGCTCTCAGTGGGGTTAACCGGAGGTGCGACCAAACAATGCCTGAGGCTATGTGGACTCGAGGGAACGCGCACCCGTTGCCGATTACGATGTTTACCTCGTGAGCATCTAAGGTAAGAACGACAATTGTCGAGCGAAAGCGAGAGAGAGAGAGCTCGTGGCTACTGCTGCTGCTGCTGTTGCTGCTGCTGCTGTTGTTGCTGCTACTGGTGACGGTATCGAATTTCTCGAGTGGCCGAACTACGCTTTGTTGCTCTCGCGGTGTCCGATGAATCGCCGCCGGTTGCTTTTCCAAATTGCTTGTTAAGAGGCTCTAGTTCCCACTGGCTAGCGTTTCTAAATTGCACCTCTATAAGCGCATCACCTACCGATTCTCTATTTTTTGCTCAAGATCTATTTCAATGGCTGGGGCGTATTCAATCACTTAAAATGTAGAAGTTTTGAAATTGAATGTTTCTCGATAGTTCGTTTGAAAATTTGGAGAAAATTTAGAATACAACTTCAGAATATGTATTCAAAGAAAACAAGTAATATCCTGCTGCATGAAAGTTTCATATATATAAAAACTTTAATACGTCGAAAGTTTCGATTCTAATATGTAATTAGTAAGTTTTTCGAAGATCCATCAAATTTATTTAATGAGGCAAAATATTGTTTGTTTTCAAAATGATATTACGAGTAATCTGCTTTCTAAAAAAAAGGCTGAAACTCAATAAAGTGTGAATTTAAATGGATATCGAATTTGATAAAAATTTCATCGATATCTTATTCGACTCACTACAGACTATATTATAAAGTTATGAACTTGACTCTACAACCAAGTTAGAAATCACATTATTCAGTTTAGCTACCTTGATACTTTTTTAAGTCGCGTATAAATGCTTTAGCGCAGGATGTGCGTGCATTTTTAAGAATCGGTCGTCGCGACGAACGCCTCTTAAAATTTCAGCTGAGCTTCTACTCGCAAATTCTTATCTATAAGTATAGTCGATACGAATTCTCGCTATGCTTTTCTATATATATGCCTCCTTCTTCGTAGAGCGAGTCGCGGGCATAGTCAATTCGAATTAATCGACTTGAATCGCAGGCAAAGTTTCGTGCGCAAACAAATTTTCCAGTACGCGTGATATTCAGAGACACATTGTTATTAGCTTTGATTTTTCACAGTACATCCGCGACGTATATAACACGCGCACGTGTTTCACTAAAGGAATGTTCATATCTGACTGGATAAAATTCAGTGATCCGTAATGAAGGTGCAAATGTTTAACCGCAGGCAACTGGTACGCGACCAACGCGTGTCAAATTCGAATCTTTATTCTCTCTCTCTCTCTCTCTCACTTGATTCACAAACGAGCGAGTGAGCAAGCAGTTAATTAAACATCACTCACAAGTAGCCGAGGAGCTCTGAATGGAGGCGTCGCTTTTGTTCGCAACGACGCGTCGCCGCTTCCGGGCATAAAAAAAAGACGCCACTCACTCTCTGCTCGCTCTTTCTCGTATCCCTCAAAATATATATCCTGTACTACATGTCTCGCGTCATCGCCTCGAGGCTAATGCGCGCGTAAATGAAGCCCATTGTCGACTGGCGCGCATCCACCGTCGCCGCTGCTTATCGAACGAGAATGATATCTGGGTAATTAGGTCGACTGTGAAAATGATTAGTGCTTTCATTAAGTGCTTGTTCGGCAAGCTTTCCGCACGTACATTGCATAGAGACGCTGAGGAATTGAACGCTGCTAGGAAAAGGCCATCGGCGATCGGTTTTTCGCATCGAACGGATAACCTTTTAGCGGGTCTCGAAAAAGTTTGGAAGCGCGGTACCCGATTAATTTAAAAAATAAACGGCCTTTGATCGTGCTCGTGCGCGGAGCCTATTCATAATGTTTGAGTTACGAAAGCAAAGCTTATTTCACTATAATAATTTTCCTCGCCCGGGCCTAGATGTTAATCAAGCCTGCCAAACGAGCCTGCGCATAGAATAAAAAGTCTTTTGCCTTAATTAATTTTCCTTTATCGTGGTCGACGTCCCGATCGCCTTTGATAGAAATTCGCCTGCGCTTAAGGCGTGTTAACGTCGACCTAACTGCTCCACGAAAATCAGCTGTTAATTAAACGTGCATAAACGCGAGGGAAAAAAAAATTGTCTTTTTTGAGGAGTAAGATAAAAATAGATCGAGCGCAGCGCACAGAGGTTGTGAAGCTTTTGCGTGCATGAAAAGACGCGGCTCTATACTAAAGCCTATCAGGCCTTGGTACTTGATTCTCGACTTTGACCGCGTCTTGGGCGTGTAAGAACCGAAGCGCACTTAACCCTCACTTACGGCCACCCAACGTCCTCACTACAAGTATTATCGTCAGGCTCAAGTGAGCCCCTTGATACTTATCTTTAACCTTGAAATGCACTCTTTTCTAAGAAGATAAAGAAAAAAACATCAAAGTGCCTCTGATCGATTCGGCTGTAAGTTTCTTTCAAGTAAACATTTTCTCTTCTTAGATGACGGAATAAAAAGCTTTTCTTCCAATTCTAATCAGAGGCGAGTGCAATACAATTCATTTGTCATTCGTCGCGACTATATTTTAGTTTAAACTTATCCACGCTACTATCTATTATCGATACGACAACTACAATTTTTATTACTCAACATGATACTGTAGCCCATTGCAAGCTTTATGTAGCAGTGCAGATGTGAAAGGCATTTTCGAGATACGTCCATCTAATTTTTTCCAACAAAGTTGGTATGATTACTCAAAAAGAAGACTCCGTAAAGAAGTAATTATAAGCTTGTTGAAGGTTTGCTAATTAAAAATCATAGTATAAGCATAGCCAAATGAGTAGGTAACGAGCTGCTTGCTCCAACATACTGGAATTACAATGCTCGCGCGAGCTTGCAGCAGCAGCGAGTCTTAAAGCTCTGGAGGTGTAGTGCCTGCGAGGCAAGTTTGGCATAAGAGAAACGTCGCTGTAATTAACGTCTCGTTTATTGCCATACTAAATCAGAAGCCGTCGATAACGTAGCCGGAGGGGACGGGGGTCAAGGAAGAGGGCAAGCGCCAGGGAATTACGCGTAACCGTGTAATAGCAGCTATAACTCGCCGTTGAAATTAGTATCGGTTAGGCTCTGTGCACACTGTAGCGAACCGAGAGAGTATCGGTTTAAGTTGCTCACGCGCATGCCCGCGACACTAATGAACTCACTGAATTCACGAAATAATTAACGAGCCGGTCTTATGTGCACGCAAAATCTCACCCTCTTATCTCGCTTTTATAAAAACAGCAGCACTCGCGTCGGTATTATCATTATTATTATCATCATTTTGTGCTCTTGCTTTTCTGCAATACAGGCAATGTGTCGAGAAATTTTGCAGTTCGTTTTGCGCGGCGCGTCGAGAGAGAGAGAGAGAGAGAGACAGAGAGACCGCGCGAATATTTCCGATAATTGCTTTCGCGTGATACAACCAAAGCGCTGAGAATTTAGCGCTCTCTCGCGCCACGGTAATTACCCATGCGGTTTCGCTCTGTGTGCCCCGCGCGCTGCTATTATTTATTCCGCCGTCAAAGTCGGAATAGTATAGGGGCTACGCCAACTTACAATTGCGCACGTAAACGTCTATCGTATATCGAAACGGATGGAAAGATACAGTCATCATAGAAAATTGTAAGACTTATGTAAATATACGTGCGATATACGTGCGTCCTCAAATAAATTGTAACTATGGCACGCCATCGCTGCAAGTCCATGCAATGCGAAATGATATGCGTATGCCACATAAGAATAAAAAAAAATTTGTTAACACAAGGTCAAAAGCAAAATTAATTAAATTTGATTCAACCATAAAATACACAAAGACAATTCATATTATAAAATTTGCCATAATTGATCGTAAAATTACTACAAAACATAGTAATCGTGATATATACTCTGTAGTAAAAATTGCCGTGTAACGTTGTCAAAATTAAAATAATGAAAATTTCTCTATGTAGCTATAGATTCTAATAAATTTTACTAGAACCCATATTGATTGCTACGTGAAGAGAATACAGGGGGTTAGTTCGGTAAATTTTATTATGCACATAATCTACATAATGCACATAAGTCACCTTAATCTTGAAATTATTTTTTTTTTTGGAGTAGGGCGTATACGATTGATTGATACATTATCGTTATTAGCTATACACATGTATATTGCGTATCACACTTGTGACCGCACGCATTTTTACAATTTATTGATTATGATTCAGACCGATATTTTGTTATATAGTATAAAGATTGAGTGAACAATCATATAAACGTGGCCCCTGCAAATTATCAAATTGAAGTCTCGAAGCACGTGTTTAGACTTCAATCCGGCCGTTGTAATTTTTGCTACGTTCATCGTAAAATGTCTTCAAGGCACAATAATATTTGCTAGGTATTCTAACATACATTATTACATCTGTTTATAACTATTGTGGCATAATTATTCTTATTATTTGTTATAATGAACTTTTTCAATATTTTCATATAAAAATTATTATGGCTATAGTAGAAATTGATAAAAGTTTAATAAATTTTATGACTTGAGTATATCCTACGATTACTATGTTTTGTAGTAAATTTTACTGCAACTATAGCACATTTTATTATAGCAATTCTCTCAGTGTAATAGCCCGCTATGGTAGTCAAGTCTAGCCTCGTAAAGGTCACACACACGCACACATGTTCGTCCCCTCCAGAGACGTAAGCGCGAGCAATACGTTCTTAACGGATGTACGCTGCTGCCTCGGCCGTCGACGTACTCGGGCAGAAGAAGAGAGCGAGGGCTGCAAAAGACGTATTATAGAGGGAGCCAACGGGAAGGAAGAGCCATTGCCGTAACAAGCTTGTCGCGCCCAAGAAAAAAAGCAAGAAAGTAAAAAACTAATTGCCGGATTAGGAAGCACCGTGCAAGCTCGAAAATCGTATCTTTCTCGCGCGATTTATCAACGCTTGTGGTGGTGTCGGTACCATTGTTACATTATCACGAAAATAACTTCATCATACGATTTTCCGGATTCTCCTGCAAGTTAATTTACCAACAAAAGAAGCCACCGCAAAACTAAGTCGATGCAAGGATTCATCTTATGTAGCAAAGAGAGAGAGAGAGAGAATTTATAGCGGAAAGTCATATAAATTTTCGTATAGCAGAGTGGTTATCGTATCGTGGTGAAACTTTGTCAAGGTTCATTTTGCCCATAGCTCTTCGCGTTTAGTACAAGTTACCCCTTCTTCCTTAGCCCCAAGGATAAAAGCCATTATTGTGCAAGAGAATACAAACTCTGCTCTACGTCCACTCGCTCGTGCGAGTGTTAGAGGAAACCTGCGCCGGAAGAGCCATTTTAATTTATAGTTTAAAGTTAATACTTCGTGAGTTATGTCTAAATCATAACCCGAAATCTTGCCTCTCCTCTGGGCTTTTTCGTCATTCCTCGACATAATTTATCGCGCGTCTATCTTTTACGATTTGCCCACCTGACGGCCGATTTATCAATAGTTATGAGAAGCCTCTGATTCCCGAAAATAGAACGAAAATCTATATCTTCAAAAACATTCTTAAGTAAAAACTCTGGCAGAGATCAATGTCGCGGTGCCGCAAGGAAACTATAGTTTTCATGTCTACTTACAGACTCATTAAGCAGACTTGTTATAACCAATATTGTCATGTCTCTTTGACCTAAAACTTTATCAAGAAACTAGTTGCAAAAAAAGAAAAAAATTCTGGTCATACAAATCGGCATTGCGATTGCTCTTGTTGAGCCTGTCGCAACGAGCTAACTTCATTTGATTAGCTAATCATGAACATACCAAATGTTGTAGCGCGATGAAAAATACTCCAAGGAATTTTTTACTGATTGATCAAATTTTACGAGTTTTCGTATTCTGTCCCTGTCAGTAGTGCTTATCGACACGCAGAAAGCTTGCTTTTCATCATCATAAATTTTCCCCGACATTTCATAGCAGACGAGCTTATTCTCTCTACTTGCTTTGCCATACATAAATAAGTCGTATTTACTATTAATCTACTTGGACTGATTGATTGCCAGTGATGTATTGATGTTACTTATGTGTATGATTAATAAGTAAGCAATTCTATTTATCAATTGTAAGTGGATAAATTCGACTAATTTTAGGTGTACGATAGAACGAATTCTATTAATATTTCAGTTATTCGATTCAAGAAATCGTAATTATTCTCTCAAGTTGGCTATTAATTACGGCTGTTGATATGTGGCCTAGATATATAATGGAGAAAACGAAGTACAGTGGCGCAGAATAGAAAAGTAGAGCCGCAACTCTAAAAAAAAGGAAACTCGACTAACTTTCCAAGAAATTTCACTGCTCATCAAGCTGATCTTGGTCAGCTAAGAAGGTGCTCTTGCTGCGGGTGCAGAATACTCAGCAGTTCGATTCTCGCCGAGTAGGCCGAACAAAGTTGTGGAAGGAGCTGCGCGCGCGGGGCTCGTTAATCAAAAGTGCGCGTCTTGCGGACACCTGCGTGCATATCGATCGGCTATGTGCGGCTCTGCGCTAGTGCAGTGGCTGCGGCGCGACGCGACCACACTATACTATACCTGGCGTGCGCGCCGCATTTCAAAACTAATTTAAACTTGCGCCGCGCCGCCAACCAGATTTCGAATTATATGAGAGAGAAAGCGCTTTCTTCTTTTCGGCAAGGGAGCACCGGACTTATTTAACCCGATTCCGTTTGTTAAACTCAGCGGTATATATATATATATATACACGCAGATATGTATGTATATATGTGTAGATTGATCTCTATTCTGACCGAGCCTGTAGCCGAGCGAAACAAAATATTTGCGATAAATATTTTCAAACGCGCTAGCGTAGATTTTTATAACAGGCTATTGCGTTTCGCGCATGTTGGACGTGCAGAGAAAAAAAGAAACGAGAGAGAGGGAATACCAGAGTGGTGCTTTGAAAGCGGAGCCACGAATGTTTTTACTGCGTAGTTATTCAAATAGACGGTCACGCGAGCCGCCGCTGGCGCGTCGATGGAAATGTTACGACGAAAGGTCCCGTCTCGACAAATTCGCGTCATTTTTTCCTCAATTAAACTTTGACTATTAACTGAACAGAAAGGTTGTACTCTTTACCGACTCCTCCCTTCCTCGGCAAGAATAAAAAAAAATACCGCACTTTTTTTATTATACGTAGGTTGAGCGTGCAACGAGCGCGCGATCAGTTTAATTGCCGAGCGAGAAATCCATTAGAACAAAACAGTCGGACTGTCGCGGGACTGAGATTTTACAGCATAGTCGAGGTAGAGAAAGTCGGAGGTATTATAAAGTACAGCCGTATAATCAAGCAACCGCGAGACCAAACTACAATACCGTCGTAAATGTGAGCTCGCTGCGATTAAAGTATTCATAAGAAGGATGAAAGAAAGAGAAAAAGAACGTAAAATAATGGAAATGACACGGCTCAGTGGTGTGCGCGTAACACGTTTAAAAACTGGTCTTACTCGATGAACGAAATGCATCGACGCGTTATCAGAAAGACATTTGGCTCCTGTTTCTTCGGTCGCCTTACTTGTCTTCGCCATTTTTGCCTATCGATTCAGCTACTATTTTACTATGCAAGGCCACGTTGTCTCGCGTCATACTGAATTTTCAAAATTCAATTCACGTACTATACATATAACGTTACTGGGTAAAATTTGTTAATAATAGGAGCGCATTTGTTTTTCATCATTAGTTGCCTTAATGATCGGAGAGCAAACGAAAATGACATTGATCAATAGCTCGTCACGGATGAATTGTTGAATCTTTCAAGAGGCGTCTATATTAGCTACATTAGCTATTGAACTAATCGAAACAAACTAACAAGTGTTTGACTGCGACAAATTAGACAAAAAAAGCATAATACGAAACTCGAAACTCACCTTCCTCGTCACTGCCGATCATGGCGTAGCGATCGAAACCCGTGAGATTCCTGACTGCGCCCAAGCCAAAATCGTCCTTCGTCCACTGGATAGGGCCTTTCTGGTTGAGTACCCTGCAGGGTAGCGTGACTTTGCTCCCAATGACGGCCGTTTGATCCGATGGCTCGATGGCGAACCTCTGGTAGACCATTTCCGTGGTGGTTGGTGTCTTGTAGGTGGTGAAGTCCGGAAAAGTGGCTCGGCCCGCTCTCGTCGTCGCTATCGGCAGTAGCAGTAGCAGAAGCAGCAGGTCGACGCCCTTGAGCCACCGACGTATACGCCGTCTGCAACACAGAGGATCCCATCAGAGGACTTGAATTAGTATACTGTACAGGGCAGCAAGAGTCAAAGAGCGTGGGACGAGCGTAATTGGGCTTTTGTGCGAGCCAAGTCCAACGACGACGGCGAATGTGGGAGAATTGACTGACGCTATGGCTCTGACACCGTGACAGCTTCGATTGGCTCTGTGCGCGCGCCCGCAGGCTATCATAGCTTCCGAGAGAATTTTCCGTCTCTTTTATTATTAAATACCTTAATCCAGCTTGTATCGAGCTCTCACTGGACTTTTCTTATTCTCGACTGATTTCCACGTTGTTAATTGTTTTAGCCTACTAGCGAGTATCCTAATAATCTTTACGGTAGATAGAATAATCAACGTTTCATTCGCCGCCTACCTCCTAGGATCATTCATTAACTCATTCGATATTTCAATAAATATATGAAGCATTTTGGGACTATACGGCAATTTGGGTAGATTAATAGCCTGTCTCGCGTGATAATAGTATCAAGCAATATTAATGAATATAAATATGACAAAACCTTTTTTCTTATTAATCTCCTATCAAAAAAGAAAATAAACGAAATAAAAGAAATACATTTCGTTTCAGTTGTCAGTCGTTGGAAGCTCATTCCCCTTCCCTCCGAGAGCTAAACGACAAATCACGTCAAAGAAAACGGAAAGGAATATCCTGCGAGGAAAGGCTCAGTAAGAGAAAAACAAGCTCCCAATCTGAAAATAGAGCGAACAAGAAGAGTCAGTCTATATAAGTGCCACGCGATATAAATGGAGATCGAGAGAGGGATCAACAGCTGCTACTGCGTCGTATGAATATCAGTGTGTGGAGGAGTGCACTCGCACAAAGCTGCCTCAGCAGCCACTTCTTATCTGCGTACACTGGAACACGACAGGATGTATATGTCTCCCTCCTCACGGGCCACTTCTTATATATATATATATATATATATATATATATACGAGCTCAATAGGATAACGACGTCGCTCACGGCGGCCCCGCAGCCGGCTCTTTTGAATGAACAGCGGGAATAATAACGATAATTGCATCGGCTTCTTTCGCTCCTCTCCCGGCTCTTACCTCTCTCCTAGCTACTTATATCAATTATTCGATCGCGAATGCCTAATTAACTTGAATGCGCGCGACTTGCTTTACGAGGGTATCCCACTGCGGCAGAGACTTTTCCCATTTTTAATTCGACTTATTATAGCATTTAATCTGCTATTATCAACCTCTTGGATTGGCTGTTTGGTATATTCGTCAAGATTCCATTCTATCTTGACCGCAGTTCCAGCTTCAAGAGCTTCGATTTCACGCTGTCATCTACAATATTCAATGTTGCTGTTGTGTTTCTAGTTATATTTATAACATAAATATAAAACGAATAAAACGAAAAGGATCAAATATATGACTTGCCGATTTGAACATATTTGAAAAAAAATTTACGTCCCCGTTCAGCGAGACTATTTGAAGGATATTGACAATTATTTAAAAGCTTATATTTTCATATGTAAAAGCGTTTACAGATTGACATTTTGAATTTGAAAGCCTCTTGATGAAAAACATCATTTAATGTTTTCAAACGTATGCAATTTTATTTCAGTTCATTTATCTAACCAATTTTATAAATACAGTCGACTTCGCTTATCGCTTCATAGAAACAAAAACAAAAGAGAAAACAAATATTTGTATGAATTCGTTTTACGAGGTAAAGTTTCTTTTCGTCAGACTGATTCTCATCAAAGTGGGTAATTAGATAAGCTTTTCATGAATAATTCAATGAAATCCAATGTAAATAAGTCGAAAAAGGCAAAAGTGCTATTAGGGCATCGTTTACTCGAAGTCAAGCTTTACGTCAACGAAAAGTTGTATTGTATCATCGGGGTCGAATATAACATAAACAGCAATGGAAAAAGAAAGGCAAAACAAAAAAGAAAAGTTTAGTCACGAACGAATCGAGGAATATGCTTATCGCACGTGAAGAATCTCTCAAGGAAAGGAGAGCGATAAAGAGAATAACAAAAAGAACTTTTTTCACTGGTCGACTGTTTACATAGAAAACGTCTTTAGTGGGGAGGATTTATTTAGATGATTTTCAAATGCTAATAGGGTGCTTCATTGTGCACATAGTTGCGCATTGACTGTGCGAATCGTTTTAATCAAATTGGCCGTAACTACAGTACTCGATTATTCCATAAATCTGATTTAGTCGAGCCAATGATTATGCGTTCAAAAGTCAATTGTTTGCTCAATGGAAGATGTATATCGTTTGGTTTGGATATATATCGATTACCTACATTTCCTGATAATTATGGTATTGTTCCCCAGTAGAGTGATTAAACATATCGAGGCTGATCTGTTACTCTATATACCAATAGGACAATGCATATCACATGAATAGAGAGAAAGAGAGAAAGAATGAGTGCTTCGGATAATCAAGAGCGGGCAAGCAGCCCACGCATCCAGGCAGACTCTCGAAGACAAGCGTGACTGCAGTCCAGAGTTGGCCTATTGAACAACGCAACAACAACGTCAATGGGAGGACGAGTAATTAAGCGACGCGTGTAGTGCAGCATGTTCGCGCGCGCTTGTATCAATAAGGCAACGAGATCAGCACGAGACAGCAGCGGCGACGTCAGCAAGGTGTAGAAAGTCATGTAGCAAAGGGGAATCGCCAATCAGTATGTACACCAAGGTGAGTGCAAGGCACAAACAGAGAGAGAGAGAGAGAGAGAGAGAGAGAGAGAGAGAGACCCTCTTGCACGCAGAAACGCACATAAACAGAGACTGCGTTAACCGCGTGCCAACCGCACAAAGGGTCAAAACTAGCGGATAATTAATGCACGCGAGAATCGGATTCAAGTTGCTTTATGCTGACTTTGATGCTTTGATCGCGCGAGGCATCATGTAAAGTAGGCTAATCGGTTTTGACGATGAAGTGGAATAGCTGATTTAATGTTTAGTTAGTTCGGCCGCTGCGCTGATCGGTGCCTCGCTTGATCACAACTACGGCGACGCTGACGAGTTACTTGCCTGTGGACGCGACGAGGCAACGACACCTTAAGCCGCCAATATGGATCGCCGGGAAGCCACATACGACAAGTACGCTAACGCAGACACACACGCGTAAACTGCTGACTGGCGTCGATCCGTATCTTGTTAGGTATATCTTGCGCGCCGCTCAAATTGATACGCTACTCTCTTCATTAATTTACGCTCCCGATGAATTCATCTCGTCCGGTTTATTTGGGAGCCAAACATTTTTTATCGTTGTGTGCATAAAATATGTACGTTCGGGAGAGTTGCATGCAATGGAATATAACGGCATGAGACAAATGTCTTGTCGATATTGAAGTAGAAGAGCGAGACTTTCCTAAAAGTCTATATCTAGAAAGATTAATTGATTAAAAGTTAGCGAAGGATGGAGATCGTATTTCCTACGTTCCAAATACTGCCATGTTGCGTCCTTTTGCATCAATACATTTGATGAAAATGGAGCTGTGTAGCTAAACTTTAAAATACACGCGAGATACTGCTAAGAGAATGGCCAATGCAGATGCGATGTAGCTGGAGTGAAGCACAAACGAAAATAGAAGCTAACAGGCTCTCGCTGCGTAGAGTAGAGTACAAGGCGCTTGCTCGCTGCGGCAAGGAGGGTGGTTTGGGTATGAATATGTGCGGCTGCGTAATCGTCTCGGCAAATATACACAAACGTGTTTAATTACGTGTGTAGCCAGGTTACCTCAGACAAGGAGACGACGTCGGTTCCCCATTGGCCAGCAGCAGCAACAGCGGCAGCAATCAACGCCCCACAATTGACGTTACCGTATAAGACACACACGGCAATGCCTCGCATTTGTACGAGTTGAACGAGAGATACAGAGCTTACGGAAGCTTTTGCGGGCGCACGGGCTCTGTGTGCATTCCATTGCGCAAAGGCAGATCCGAAACAACGGCGGTTATACATAATGACTTTCTTGGATCTCTCGTAATTGAGTGTGCCGAGTTCGCTTGTAACTTGCGCCTCCCTCTCTTGTTTCCGTGTGTATTCGGGCTACACTCCCTCAAAGCTTGCTTTTCGATGATTAATTTGCGCTGATGGTTCTCGTCACGCTTTTCTATTTGCTTTTATACAAGTCGTTAGTGTTATTTTCGTAGAGGGTGTGATTATGACTTATTTCCGTGGAGATGACCACCAGACAGCGGAGTAGAGACGAGGAAATTTAATCGAAAAAAAGAAGAACAAGAAGATAACTTATATTTTTTTCGAGGAGAGTTGATAGAGAAGTTTTCGAGTACTTATATTTCGAAGGAATCCGCGAAAGTGCCAAGTTGAAGTACGCTAGTTACTTTCATTTGTATATATCTCGACTGACCTGCTTTTTAGTTGCCCTGCGAACGATAAGCGCACATTCCAGCGTTTTTGTGGAAACGAGCTTTGATTCAGTTATTCTTTTATCGGAAACATTGTTGCAAAATCTGAAAGTCAATCGTTTAGATCGATGTTTATGTGGACCGGAGGCTACTAATGCGAAATTTGTGGAAAATGGGATCGATTAAATTTGGATTAGATCTAACGATGTGTTTATTTTATAGAACGTGTCGGAATGCCATCAGATATGTAGTTCGAATGAGGTCACGTGTAAATTATATGAAATTTTCATTATCGCGGTCGCGAAGTTTATCATTAAAAACTGAACGAGGTTCCGACGATTAAGGCAAATACGAACATGAAAAAGTGTAACGGAAAAAGAAAAAGAAAAAAGAAAGTTTAGTCCAGTGCGAGCCGCGCATCGCAGAACGATGCAAATTAAACGAAAGCTTAAAGCTCGGTAACCCACATTCGGCATAGCCAAGTAGCTCGAGTATCGTTGAACAGCGCGAGCGCGAGGTAGCAGAAAGACATTTGCATTTCGCCGAATGTTCTCGTTTTGCCTAGACGACCTAGATATTAGCGGCTTGCCAAGTGAAATTTTCATCTCGGCGTAAAC